GTGGAACTAAAAGGGAGGATTTAAGTGGCAAAGCACATTGGTTTTAGGGTGATTTGCACAGATGGGAACACTTTTGCACCCACACTGACACAGAGACACACACAGAGACACACACAGAGACACACACTGAGACACACACTGAGACGTACTCCAGCCATTGCATGCACCAACGTGCCCGCGGCTGGATAAAAACACCCACTTGAATTTGTGTCTTTCACGTTTCATTTGCATTTGTGCTACTTGCGTTCATTACTTGACACACTCATGACGAAGCTAACACGCTATCTCCCACCAGAGGCTAGCAGGGGCCATGGCTGTGCTGGTTGTACATGAGACGGCATTTGTTCCTCCTTGGCTTTTATTCGCTTGTTTATTCATTCCGTTTGTTGTGCAATCTGCTCAGTCGCTGCCCGCCACATTCTCCATTTCCCTCCCTTTTAATCTAGCTGTCATCGGGAAAAGATGTTCCCGCTTCACGCTCGAGGCATGTGTGTGTAATTTGAGTGTTTATGGTACAGTAGTGAGCCTGGACTGTCGCAATAGCTCGGCCACAAATACAGTATTTATGCACAGCAGCACCACTTTAATCTCTGCTATCGTAAAAGACCTGCAGCTTCATAAATTCTCATGTGACATTAATCTGCCTGGGGCCCCTGATGACCCCCATCCTCTCAACGCAGTATGCATCCTGTCATCTTCAAGTAAACATAGTAAACACATATTTATATGATGGGGGTTTTTGTTGCCCAGAGTTTTGCCTTTGAGGCTAGATCAGGTTGCTAACCTAACTGTAGCCAAAGAGGAATGCATGTCACTTTTAATGTAAGAAATACATATTCTTTATGTGCTCTATTGATGATCCAACATTGTTATTAGTATTATTGTACAAATAGCACAATGTGCTGAGCAATTATTCCATAAATATGTGCAACCCATACCTCTGAAACCCTAAAAAACACCAAGGATAAGTGACAATGACTTATCCTTTCATTTGATATTATCATTTATTGTGGAATATTCTGCGACAATCTTTTTACTTTGAGCCCTGTAAAATGTGCCTGCTTGATAATGCAGCCTTGGAGCAGTGCATTTTGGGTTAAATCCCCCTAAAAAAACAAACCTGTTCCCATTTCCTAAACCAACATATTGCACCAAAACGTGCAAAATGTACACTCTGCAAAATCCCAATTTCAACCAGAAATACGTGAGGCAATAAAAAAGCACTTCTTGTGACTTTTGAAGCAAAGTGAAATGTGAGTCGTGTCCCAGAGCAGACGGAAGGACGTGACGGAAATATCAACATCAGCATGTACACAAATTCACATCACTCACACCGGAGCAAGTGTTTTGCTGCGGGAGGCCGGCTGTCACTCAAGCGTGGAATATATAAGCGGGGCTGTGAACACACAGGAGGGGGGGCGGGGGGGGGGAATAGAGTGGCATGGCAAACACTGGGGTCCGAGATGCCTCTTAATGCAAATCAAGACGCTTTGCATAGTCCACACAGCAGTTAATATAGAGCTGAACACATGTCCAAGGTCCCTGAATGATGTGAGGCAGAGGTGTAAAGTAACTAAGTACTCAAGTACAATTCCGAGGTACTTTAATTGAGTATTTTTGCCACTTTGTTTTACTCAAGATCTGAGTACTTGGCCAACTTTAGCAGCGAGAATGAAGGCGAAGAAGAGCTCTGGCCCCTCTCTGACCCCTCTCTGACCCCTCTCTGACCTTGGTAATAATAAGAGAGACACATAGAAACAGTCTCATGTGTGATCTCTCCTATAGACTCCACACACACTCCCCCTCTATCTTCCCTAGTCTGATCCAGGTTGACTGCGGTATTATTTCATCAATTACGTTTTCCCCTTCCCGTAGAGCGTTGGTGGCGGAGCGACGCCCCTTCCTCTCCTCCGTCCTCTGGCGCTTCGTATCCCCCCCCCCCCCCCCCCCCCCCCCCATCACTGCTGATCATTGTCTCAATTACTCATCCCTCCTCCGTCTCCTTCTTCCTTCTCTCTCACTCTTATCTCATCCCAAATTGCTCCACACACTCCCTTTCTTCTCTCCCTGTCATCCCAAAGTGAGGTGGGAAAGATTTGCGTCCTACACCGCTCCTCCCCCCCACCCACCCACCCACCCACCCACCCAACACTGATCAGGATTTCACAGATGTTCTCTGATTACATCTACCTTGATTTGGCGATATATTCCCCCCCCTCAAGTGTTAGGAAGCATTCAGCATTTCCACTGTTTAGCACCCAAGATTGTGTGGGGGGGGATATTTCCGATCGCACCCTGTGATCTCTTTGTTCGCTGCTGTGAAATTGAGACTCACAGGAAATACCTGGAGCATGCTGATGGATCCAAGTGGATTGTTTTTACCAAAAGTTGCCCCCTTGTGATATTTGCGACCCGTTGATTGATGATGTTAAAACAGAACCAAAATCACATGTGCCGGCTCTCCTGTTTCAATGGTCCCTGCTCTCAGTCTCTTCTTTGTATCCATTACCGCTCCACTTTTCCATAATGGAGACATTAGAGTCTTGTACCTCTCTGCTATCTATCATGTCATTTCAACTCTTTCCTTACTTTCTGCTTTTCACTGTTTCCACTCCTCCTCCTCTCCTCTCCACGACTCCCGTCCCCATCATATCACCAACAGCTTGTCACAGCCAATCAGTCTCCCCCGCCTCGCCTCTCTGCATGGCCTCATCTTCCTCTCCCCGCGCTCCTCTTCCCCACTGTCCTCGTCTCCTTCTTGTCCTCCTTCGTGTGTCAGGCGTTCAGAAATCGTCACTGTCTGTCTGACCAGTTGAGGGTATTTACCCCTCAGATATACCCCTCGGCTCATCTTCATCTTCATCACGCTCTGTCCTGGGATGCTCTGTAAAACCATGCTTTCTAGTTTTAAGATAATTTAATCATTTAGTCATTTTGTTTCCGTACACTTTGGACAAGAATATGTACCGAATGATGTTTCAAAGATAAATGTGATTTAGCTGAGTTGCATTCAATTAGTTTGTTAAATAACAAAATAGGTTTTTCATCCACTTAAAATAGAGACAGCCCAGCAGTAGAACATATTTTGATTGAATTATATTGATTACGACATTATCAAAATGGAAATGTACATGCAGCTCAAGAACAAATACTTCAAGTGGTTGTTGCTTGAGGCCAAATATATTTCTGAATCTGGATTCCTCCGAGTATCTTTGAATAATACAACGTGAATATGACATCCAAGCATTCAATGAAACCATTTGGGCCAGATGAAACTAGAGCTGTTCGTAGTTTGGCTCACTGCACTGAAGCCACTGAACTTCATTCAAATAAATAACATTTCCTCCTACATTAACAGGTCTCAAATACTATGATTTAAAACCGTTTGGTAACACAACAAATAGTAGTGAAACTTAAGGAACATACAAACTTTTTCACAGCACTTTATTTAAACCTTCTTCATATCGCCCTGTCTCCTGGCTCTCCACCATGCTGTTCGCCCTGACCCCCGCCTGCTTCTCTCCTCCTCCTGCTTTCACACTCTGCATCCTGCAGAGATGGAGGGAGAGAGAGTGACGGAGGTGTTAGAAGTAAAGCTTCCTCTTTTTCACACCTCCCTTTCTCTCTAAGCCATCCCTCCCTCCCTCCCTCCCTCCCTCCCTCCCTGCCTCGCTTCAGACAGGCTAATCTATAGCCTGAAGCTAAGTGGCGGGGGGAAAATGATTTTTTACATTTCTTTAGGGAGGCAAGGTGAGGGCTAGCCCCGGGGGCTATATTGGGGAAAATAAGGATGGACGGGTGGTGTGTGTGCACAGGTGTTTTTTGTAAAAGAGAGAAAAATATGTTTCCTGTCTCTTTCCACTGCGGCTACACTTGAGCTGAGACCGGTTTTTCATGGGATGGAGAAGCCAGAGTGATGATTTCTGTATTTCTGCAGAGGTGTGATTCTCATCTCCTCACCTCTCACCTTCCTCCTTCTCGTTTGCCTCTCCTCCTAACATGTTCATTTCTTCCACTTTCCACCGTTTGATCCGCCCGTTCGGACTCTCCCCGTGCTCGTTCCTCCTCCAGCCTCGCTGACCTGCAGTCCAGTGATCTTTAATGCATACACTGACATGCTTTATGTAAGGAGAAGTGTTACAGGAGTTCATGCGCGCACCCCCTCTTTATGCCTGTGCACTTAGTCTGCTTGACCTCCTTTTAGCTTGCTCGCTAGCTCCACTAGAAAGAAGCTTGTTGGATTCCAGCACAGGTTAGGAGGCTGATTTGAAATGTCAAGCTATTTCTCTGCCGCTCTGATTAAATTGCATTCTGCGGGTGTAAGAAAAAAGCGTTTATGGCTTAAAGATGCGTATTAAATCCCTCATTGCCTGTATTAACACATCAGTCCCTCCATTTCAAATTCTCTTTAATTGGCTTTATTAAATACATGAGCAGTGATAGTAATGGGGTATTACACATTGTAGCTTTAAATCATTCAGCACAGTCTGTATTTCACCCAATCAGGTCCGGTTTCTCTATACACACACTGTTTTGTGTCTCAGGGGCTCCATTTTATTTTATATGCGCTCTTGATTGGATTACCAGCCCTTTTTTTTCCATCAGCCTCTCTACATTACCCCCCTCTCCGGCAATTTCCCCCAGCCCGAGCAGCTATTGCAGTTGACTCAAAGCGGTTGAGTCCATGCAGAGCGGTGGGGGTGTTAATGAATTCCAGCGGACTGCTAAATGAGGTCTTATTAAAGCGCTGCCGCCTCGTAGTTTGACATTTCAGAGCTTCTGGTGGACTTTTAAATCGCTGCCTCTGCAAATGTCACTGGTTGACTCTGGAATGGCCGACCATATGAATAGACGCTATTGTTGGCACGGGGCTATAGATTGAGAAAGAAGGGGAATCATGTGTGGCTTTGACACATGGGTTTTCACTCTGCGTGTGTGTGTATTTATGTCACCCCTTCCACTCGGCTAATTGTCTAATTTTGTGTTTTCCATCCCTCCAGCTACGTCAGATGGGACGCGTCAAGGCCTGGAGGGCATGAGGGGCGGAGTGTGTGCGACGCAAGGCATGAAGGTGGTCCTGAAAGTGGGGCAGAGTAAGTCTTCTAAACTCTCTTGTCCTACATTGCTTTTTCTCACACACACACACACACACACACACACACACACACACACACACACACACACACACACACAAACACGCACACAAACACACGGAAGCTCTCCCTTATGCACACCTCCTGGAGTCCGCCACACATGGGCCCTTCCTCACACACATTGCTATTCATGCCTCACACACGATAACCTAACACAGAACTACAACCATTGGCTCCAGTCCACCGCATCTCGCACCATCTCCCATCTGCACGGCGGCACGCATTCCTTATCTCCCACTTTTAAAACCATCCCTCTTATCTTCCTCGTTCTTACACACACACATACAAAACGCGTGTGTGTTCTCTCCGAGCGTATTAGGTCTCATTAAGTGGTGAGAACAGCAGAGAAGTGTGAGATCAGTCGGCTATAATGAGGCCTGTTGACTTCCTTCTGACTCTGCCTCTGAACTACTACACCCACACACACACCCACACACACACACGTTAAACCTTGCATGTCTCTGTGCGGGATATACATTACAGGTGAGCTCACACACACACACAAAGACAGGAGCACACACACGGGCGCGCAGACTTGCAAGGCTTAGGTGGTCGTGCGGACACACACTTGACACACACATTTCCCCCACAGCACGATAACAGAACAACTCTATTCGGGGTTTAAAGCACGCAGTCAGTGGTTTTTAATGAGTCGTAGCTGTGCACACTTCAAATGAGTTTGGAACATATTCACAGGTAATGACCCCTCACATGCAGGCCTGTCAGAGAAAGCAGCAAGCATTTTCACTGACCTGCACATTCCTACACATAATGGGCACCTGTCCTTCACACGACCCCCCCCCTCACACACACCTATTGCTATTTATTTAGCCTATCCTGTGTTATCGGGCCTTGTGTATTGTGGTTGCTCTTCAGCGTTGAGCCAAGTGGCGCTGCTGTGGCTCTTATCAGCCCAGAAGATCAGCCCAGTCAGCTCAATAGAAACACCACACACACACACACACACACACTTTCTTTCCCCATGGCTTTCCACCACACCGGCAATCCAATCGCACACCACTTTTAAACAACTCTGTGAAGACACACACGTCTTTCTATTTGTCGTCTTTCTTCCCCTTATCCCTGTTTCATCTCCTCTCCTTTTCTATGTCCTCCTATCTCCTTTCTCTATTCCCTCTGCATTTGCCTATTTTCTTTCTTTAACCCCCTTTCCATTCAAGCAACGCTGCCCACTTCCTTTTTCAAATTCCCCTTTTCCCCGTCCTCATCACTTCCCTTTCACTTGGCATGCTTGCCATCTCCTCTCCCAACTCTGTTGTTTTCACTCTTTCCGTCTTATCTGCTGTGTGGCTGAAAGGTCACGTCTGTGCTGTTTGTCATCTAAATAAGCGCCGTGCCGCCTCGCGGTGATCTCTGATGAGATATGCCGCTCCGAGACGCACGCACACACTCGTGAAACACGCACTTTCAACCCCCTTACCCCTCCCCTCACACACACACACACACACACACACACACACACACACACACACACACACACACACACACACACACACACACACACACACACACACACACATTGGCCTGTCCCATTTTATTTGATTCTTTATCTATCTTGCTTTCTTTCTGTCTCTGTCACACACACACACTCTCACACACACACACACACACCTCCCTCCACTGGCCCCTGCTGACCACACAGCAGTTTGTATTGATCCAGACTGCACCGCCCCCCCCCCAACTTCTGTTTGGTTGACTTTCATGAGGCAGCCGCCAGCCAATAGTCTAACACTTATCTAAATGTCAGTATAGGTTGATGGCTGTGCACACACGCACACACACACACACTTTCACTAGTTGTGCATAGACTGGATGCAGTGTGTGTTTTTGCGGGGTTAATTGCAGTTGCATCCATAAGCACCCCATGGTTTGCTCTCCCCTGCTGCTGCAATGACCAGACACAGACTTTCTTTTCTGAAATGTTGTATAAATTGCACATCCCGATATAAAACTCTAATCTCGCAGCCTTACTGTTGGCCAGATGGCTCCGGAGTGAAAGAAAACAGTATTTGTTGACCAATCTCTTTCAGCGGTGAGGAGTGACACTTGAACAATAGCTGCATGTGTGTGTGTGTGCGCGTGTTTGCATGTGTTGCATAAACGCACTTTAATGCCATCACCATTACCAAAGGCTTGCTAAACAGACGGCCTGATTTAGCGACGACAGACTACAAGCCGTTATGGCCTTGTGTAAATTCACTCAGGCCAAAACAACAAACGGCCTCTCTTTAGTTTCCCATTCAAACAAATGGAGAAATGCTCGTACTCAGCACAATCAATACGTGCTCCCCTATAATGGGAAGGGAGGGGAAGGAAGGCTTTATTAAAGCTCGCTATTCCTCTTTCTGGCTCCGTGTAAATGCCACTTATTACTTTCAATTCTAAGACTGTTGAAGATAGTTTTTTCTTTTTTCATATTCCACCCTTATTTGTTCCCTTCCACAGGCCAATATGGACTGCCTCCGAAGAAGGAGCCTCCAGCGGGACGCACCACCAGCAGAAACCCAGGTATGCATGAGACCCAAAGGAAGACAATCCACATCTAGAAAATGGATGGAGGGAATAGGCAGAGACTGGGAGATAAAGAGAGGAGCAGCAGGGAGAGGGAGGGAGGAGGCGACAGATGGAGAATGTGCAGCGGTGACATCTGTGGATCTCTCTATTTAATTCCATATCTTTCCCTCTCTCTCTCCCTCTCCTCCCGGTCTACTCGCCCAGCCCTCCGAGCTAAGTGCTGCAGGCGGGGAATGGAGGGCTAATAGCTACCTTGGGAGAGGGAAAGGAAAAAAGAGAGGGAAGAAGAAAGAGGGAGAAAAAGGGAGAGAGGGCTAGACCGGCGGCGACATTTCCAGAGTTATTATTGTCATTAGTTTGGATGGCCTGGATTCTGTAGTCCCGTCAAGAGAGAGAAAGAAAATAAATGAGAATTACGGAAAGATGAGGAAAGGGAGACAGGGGAGTGATGGGACGAAAAGTGGGAGGCACACAAGGAGGAGAAAGAAAAGAATAATTGAAAAGCAAAGAGGGGAAGGGAATAGAACAAGAAGACGGAAATGGACAGATACTAGATCCATGCTTTACCTCAAAGTCATTCAGCGGAGGAGGAAGACCATGATCTGCTCTCAGTTGTGTCTATTTCTCCCTTTTTTTCTTTTTCTTGGTGGTACATTTGTGTGCTATATGAAATGTGTGAGTCAGGGCATTCCTCACTTGTCCATATAGGTGAGAACTGTACGTGTGAAGTGATCAACAATACTACGCGTTGTTTTTATGAGACAAAGAACACTGGACACAACACAAGACTGATTTCAATCACACACATAATGAGGGATTTTGCACCTTCCCGGCCCCCCCGAGAAGTACATATTATCATACACTTATCTGAAATGATTGTAATAATATAATCCTCATGTGAATCATTTTGAATAATAACTGGGATATTGCTGGTTATTCGCTTTCATTTGTGTTGTGTTTGTCTCATCTGATCCTCTCTTGGGATGTAAACAAAGACATTATTGGGATATGAACAGAGAAGGCTCTACAAACAAAAACACACACTCCTTCGTTCTGAGAGTCATAACTCAAATCCAAACAAACAGTCATCAACACTCACTTTTTTCATTGTTGGCTGCATTTCAGATGTCCATGGAGGAAATCATACAACAGATGTGCTCATTTAGGAGGCCTTGTTCTGCTTTCCTGTAGTGTGTTATATACTGTAGGTTTGTGTGCATGTAAATGGTCTGCAAAGGCTAAAATCCTAAAGTTCAGAGAAAAAACAAGGATTTTTGACTCTTTTTAAGCGGTTGAATTACAAACAAAACACACATTCAGGGAGTTGGACAACATATATTATCCCCTGGATTATTTAAACAATATCATCATATGTAAATGATTAAAATGCCGTCTATATTTCTTCCAGGGAATCACAACAGCTGTAATGCAAAGAAAGAGCCTGTAGCATGGAGGTGTGGTTAGTTTAAGGTTCAGTATTCAGACATTCAGCTAGGTTCATTGTCAATACATTTTCATCAGATTAGTTGAGGTCTCAAACTCAAGGCCCGGGGGCCAAATCCGGCCCGCGACTTCATTTTATGTGGCCCCGCAAGAGCTTGCAAAGAATACGATACGTTTATTATATGGTTACATGCCGCTTTACAGAAGCAGGTTGTCCCACAATGCATCTCGTTTTGTGACATGCGCACTGAAGAGACTTGCAATTATTTGCCCTGGACTTCTGCTTTCAGACGTAGTTAATTACTAAGTTATTATCCTATCCGATAATAATCCAATTCAGAGGCAATAATGTAATATAATACATTTTATATATATATATATATATATATATTAGGGCTGTCAGTCGATTAAAATATTTAATCGCGATTAATCGCATGATTGTCCATAGTTAATCGCGATTAATCGCAAATTAATCGCACATTTTTTATCTGTTCTAAATGTACCTTAGAGGGATATTTTTCAAGTTTTTAATACTCTTATCAACATATGAGTGTACAACTATGCTTTATATGTTTGTTTATTATCATTTGAACAATGACAAATATTCTCATGAATATTAAACACAACAACCTCTGAACATTACAAATATTCGCCTCAATTCAACCTAGAACCTCTCTCATACAATAATACAATACTGTGTGTGTGTGTGTGTGTGTGTGTGTGTGTGTGTGTGTGTGTGTGTGTGTGTGTGTGTGTGTGTGTGTGTGTGTGTGTGTGTGTGTGTGTGTGTTGGAGCTATGTGCAGCTCAAGGCATATATGCCTGTGTGTATGAGCTGTGTTGCGCGCACTATCCGTGCTGAGTGTGCTGTCTGGCTACCTGCATAAAGTCAAGTGCTCGGCGCAGTTGTCGGCGAAATGTCGCTCCTCTGTTTCATTGAAACAGCTCCTTATATCCTCAGCTAGCTAGCACCAGATGCTAACAACAACACGTAAGGTGTGCTTCGCTCGCGCCACACATACACACACCCTCCCGGTCCTCCCGATGGCCAGTCCGGGCCTGCCGGTGAGCGTGGAAGTGTGGTCTGCCACAAGCGGGCAGCACGAGCGGGACTGTCAGCATCAGCTTGTAGATGGTATTTTAAACTCGATGCGCTCTGAAACTACGGCGGCCGAGGACAAAAAATACACATGCGTTAATCGCGTTAAAATAATTAGTGGCGTTAAATTTTTTTTGCGTTAACGCGTTATTAACGCGTTAACTTGACAGCCCTAATATATATATATATATATATATATATTATATTTATATAGTTACAACCGGCCCTTTGAGTGCAACCTTTATGCGAATGTGGCCCGCGATGAAATTGAGTTTGACACCCCTGAGTTAAAGGATAAAGGCGTTACAGTCGTTTCTTTACCGTTAACCTGAAATGAAAGCCTGGCACTGTGAGCAACTTGACAGTAATATGACAATATACAAATGTGACATAGGATAAGATAACAGTTTACCACAGTAAGCAACAAATTCCACATTCCAGTATAAACCTCAGATATTTGTGTGAAATGATCAGAAACAGATTTGACTCACTGGACAATGGAATGATCTGAATGTCAACTCCTTTTGCCAGTGTTGCCACAGTTGGTGGTTTTCTATTATCCAGTTGTTCTGCTTGTTATTAAAGCAGAACATAAAAAACTATTCAAACACACAGAAGCATGTTTTTCTGGTACTCTGCTTCTGGGTTTATATTGCAGACCAGGTATTCATAGTCACGCTGTCCCTCCATTAGCAACCAAAACAAGAACAACAAAGCATAACAAAAGCAGCTGTGAATGCAACCCACCTCTGTATCACGATGGTGTTTGATGAATCAGCACAGAGTACACATGGGTAGAGACAAAAAAAATCATTTAAAAAAAAAGCTATCTTATGTGGGAAGCAGCAATAAAACGCCCCGATGCATCGGAGTCTGCTCCATTAATTTTGTAATCTATCTGGATCCTATTGAATGTATTTATGTAGGTTAGCGATGGAATCAAATGTGTATTATTAACAGGATGTCACGCCTGTATTGGGAAATGATAGTGTCTCAAGCATTATGGAACATGTATGTAAACTATGTGAATTGGAAAGTAAAGCTGACCCAAAGCAAACTAGGTTATCACCGTCACATTTTTTACCTCTTGTCTTTCTCCAAGGTGAAAATCACTAATGAAAAAAGAGGGAAGAATTCAAGGGGGAGAGAAGGTGTCAAAGTCTGAACTTGTGCAATAAAAAAAGGAAACTGGAGGGTGTGAGAAGTGGGAAAAGGGGGGGGGGGGGGGGGGGGGGGGGGGGGGGGGCGGAGGTGAGCTGAAGGAAGAGGATATAATAAAGAGAGCCGGTGAAAGGCGGCGATCATAATGGAGATGGAGACTGAGGGATGTTGGGTTAATGGAGGGAGGAAGAAAGCGGGAGTGGGAAAAAAAGGGAGTGTAATCGACGTCCGGCTTTGCCCCTAGTCAGTCCAGCGCGACGGGGGGGGGGGGGGGGGGGGGGGGGGGGGGGCCTTAGTAAGCAGGGGGTGAGGTGTGTTTGCATGCATTTCCATTGCGGTTGTCTATATCTTAGGGGTCCGAATGTGTGCTTGGGTTGCTAGGCACTGAGTTTAGAGCAAGGTGGGTCATTACGGCTACAATAACCCAAAGATAGAGAGAACCACGGAGCGAGGGAGGGCGAGGGAGGGCGAGGAAGCGGAGGAGACAGACATGGGAGAAAAGAAAAGGGATGTGTGCCAAGAATAATGATGGACCAATCCAAAAGGCTCTATACAGCAACGACTCGCATTACCGGCCTTAACCAGTTCGCCACACACATTCACACGGCCCCGGTGCCAGAGCCGTACCCCTCCCCTCAATCACACACACAGATACACACACATAAACACATCTACCGTCGTTCACCTGCTGGGTTCTGACCCGGCCTCCCGCAGAGAAAGTCCTGAGCTCCGAGGCTGTGAAGATCTTAGGTTTTCTGGCAGACGCACAACAGGCAGAGGAAGCAATCGGCTGACAAACTGAGAGATAGTGTGACAGACAGTTTGATGAACAGACAGACAGATAAAGAGACAGACAGGCAGGCAGGAAAGGCCAGCAGGCGGGCGGAGTGTGTGGTCGCTGTGGCGGTGATGGAGCGGGGGAGGCTCTCTTCATGTGGTCGCCCGTAATGCTAAGTAAATACAGTTGTTAAGGTTAGGGAAATAGAGTGTGTTACCTTGATACACACTGTGGCTTAGCCAGGCTGTCCACAAGAGTATATACTGCGCAGCACTCTCTCACACACGGTCCACGGACGTCCCTCTCCGTTTTATAAGCACTGCTGTCCACTTCATTGCATCAATAAAGAGACCACATATAAGCGTCTTGTGAGATTTGCTGCATACTTACCGCATTCCATTGGGTTAAGTCTCTGCAGGCTTCACTAGCGGAGCTAAAACCAGCACCATTACTCATGCCATTGTGGTCCAGCAGCATAAGGACTGGAATGTTGACTTAAAAAGTCACGAAAACATAAATTGGGAACCGTGTTATTGCTCTGGTGATGATTAATATGCATACATAAATCAAAGCTGAAAGCTGCATGTGATAGTGTGGATATTGGAGTAAGAGTTTTTCTATGATTTGTTTCAGGCGGAGCAGCGAACTCCACCCAGTCAAGAGGAACAGGCTTCGGGGGCGAGGGGGGTGAGAACGGGCCCCTCCAACCCTCCAACATCGCCCTCATCGCCGGCGCCGCGGGGGGCTCCGCCTTCCTGCTGCTGGTGACGGCTGTGATCTGCGTGGTGTGTTACCGGCGGAGGCACGCCAAACACTCCGACACCCACCACCCTCCGCTGTCGCTGTCCTCGCTCACCAGCCCCAAGCGAGGAGGGGGCGGGGGCCTCGGCAGCTCCAACAACAACGGCTCCGAGCCCAGCGACATCATCATCCCCCTGCGGACGTCAGACTCCGCCTACTGCCCGCACTACGAGAAGGTGAGCGGAGACTACGGACACCCCGTCTACATCGTCCAGGAGATGCCCCCCCAGAGCCCCGCCAACATCTACTACAAAGTATGAGACGGCCTGCTGCCGGCCGCCCGGACACATCCACCTCCCTCACCCTTTACCAACCAACCCCCTGCTCCCAATGAAGACACAGCCAAGCTCGTCATCACAGCTCCGACCCTGAACCCCTCAATACTACCAGTATTGTCCCATGGATCCCCCACTCACTGCCCCGTGAGCCCGGCCACAGTTGTGTTTCCAGCCACCCCCCCCCCCCCATACTCACACAACTGGGCCACCAAGTGTGTGTTAGGGCAGTCGTATTGCTACATAGCCCTTATTAACAAGGCCCTCACGAGGGGGCCAGAGCCTCTGAGTGCCCCCTTCTTGTCAACTCAGAGCTAAACGAGACCCACCCGTGCCGATTTGAAGAGTCGTCCCCCGTAACGCCAGCGTGGGTATGTGTGTGTGGCAGCACACTTTTTTCTAGGAGTATGGACCCGACGTTGGGACTTGAGATGTTTTGCAAAAGAGAAAAAGAGAAAGTAAAGGACTACATTTAAAAAAATAAACTGTACCCTTGATACCACTTAGCACCGGAGAACTCTGATTCCCAGAGGCCGTACCCGCCTAGCCCAGAGCCCCACCCCTCAGAACTCCATCGGCCAATCAGAGACCGGCCCCTGCCACTAACTCACCAATAGCATTCTAGTTTGTTTGTGTTTGTTTCTCCTGAGAAAATAGGGGGCCTCGAACTCACACAATCAGCCAGCCCGGGCAGGCGGTCACATGACCAGGCCCCGGCCTGAGGAGGTCTGACCAACGGTGACACTCAGAATCTTGTATATTTTAATAATGTGTGTGTGTGACTGTGCGAGTGTGCATACGACTTGGATAATAATTATGGCGCTGCTGCTCCACATTAGCTGTGTGTGTGCAGTCGGTGTGCTTCAGTACAGCAAGTGTGCATATGAGTTTGCATATGCGTGCGTGGGGTTTAGTTCGTGTGTGTGCGCTTCGTGTGTGTGTGACTGTGCGTAAGCGTGCGTTCCTTAGACTTGTCTTAAATACCAAAACACAAAATAGTGAGCGAATATCAAAAAAGTGAGATTTTTTATCGCTATCAACACTTATAGATTATATATATGAATATCCAGTAAATAATTTCTAGATGTTTTTTTTCTTTTTTTCTATCGTTTTATTATTTGTACTCACTCTGTTAAACTACACTTCTGTTGCTAGACGTTTTTTATCTGCTGTTTTTGTTTTACCAAACTTAGAACGACCTTGTTTCCTTCTTTTTTCCCCATTGCGTTGTATATTAATTTAATCCCTTTTTTAATTTTCCCAGTGAACAGAGGTTGTGTCTCTCTTTCTCTTTTCCCCCTCTGTCACTCCCTCCCTCCCCTATCCCCCTCCCCCTCACACCCCTCTAGGGTCTCTGAACTTTGTGTATATTTTTATAGCTCCTTGTACTATGCTGTAGTTTTGAAGTTTAGACCTCGTTTGTGGAAGTGTTGAGGTAGAACCATCTATGAAAGTATTTTTTTTTTTTCAAACGCTTTTTTCAAACGCAGAAGTGAAAAGAAGCGGGGGGGAGAGGGGAGAGGTGGGGAATGGGGGGTGAGAGGGGATGAAATGAAAAAGAAGAATAAAGGAAAAATAACAGGGCGAGAGAGAGTGCTGTCTGGGGAGGAGGAATAAAGCGGCGTTTGAATGCAGAACTTCAAAAACAAAAAGAGAGGGAGAGAGGGAGGGAGAGAGGGAGGGAGGGAGGGAGGCGAGGAAAGAAAAGACTGTGAAGGAATTGCACACTAAGTAAAAAAGCAGCTGAGGGGAGGATGGGAACGGCAGGAGTGAGAGATGAAGGATCCTAATGGAAGGAAGGATGGAGAGAGCAAAGGAGAGAAACATTTTCTTGAGCCTCCTCATTGGAGCCTCCTCATTGGAGCCTCCTCATTGGATAGGAGTTGAACTTCAACCATGGAAAGAAGAGATCTCATCACACGCACACACACATCTCCAGTGACTCGCTCATGTTAACGTGAGGCGGCACATTTCAAATGTGTTCCTCTTTTCCGCCCCAAAAATCGTGTTGAAATGCATTCCCGTGTCAACCACTCGCTCTCTCTCGTTTATTATCAAGGCACACCCCGGTACATGTTAGCCGCGGACACACAAGAGAAATCCCCTCCAGCAAGTCCGTACATTATTTGTCACCCACGCTCCCTCCCACCCGACATAACACAGATTTCACACCTTTTAATGACTGTCACAAATGCCTACTGATTGCATTGAATGACACACATTTGCCGGCGCTCGCTTTGTCACGCACACACACGCGCTTTCACCCACACTCCACAGAGAAGCTGATTGCTCTCATATGACTCTATTCCTGTGATCAAGACTAACCCGATGGACATGGGAGGGATGAAAAGGTGTGTGCGCCATGTTCTCTTTCACACACCCTCACGCCAGTGCCCAGCACCTCGACCTCGAGGGGCCGTAACACAATGCTGTGTTCAGAGGTGCAATATTTTCACATGTGCATACTAAAAAAAAAAAGCGGTTTTGTGTTGCTCAAACATGTTTATGGCTTATGTGTAATATGGGTGGCAGAAGAGAGCTTAAGCTTTTTTATTTTCTTTAGACACACACGAGGCCTCCAGTGATGTAGCCATGTTTTCTGTGTGAAGCCAGTGTTAATTCTGAACCTTAAAAACATTTCTCAGCTGTGTTTTGTATCAGTATCTAACATCATATAATTAGATATCTCTCATTCGTTAGTGTCACATTCGTCTGAATTGACTTTGTTCAACACCATGATGATGATGTTCAGTTTTTCTACCATCAATGAGTTTGGATTGTATTTGACTGTATCGAAATTGATTTCAAAGATGAAATAAGGGGGGAAAACACCTCAAATTCTTCTTTTTGTACAACTGCCGACTTGTGTTTTTTATGTATGCTGTTAAGTCTATGTCTATTTAAACATTCTCAGAGTACCTATAATATCCTCCAAGCCAAATGAAGTGTCTGTTTCTCTCTCTTCAACAACTTCTGCTACTCTTTGGAGCACTCCGATCCAAAATGACAGTATTTTGTTCGAAAATGGCCGCTGCCTAGGAGGGGGAAAACAAAAACTTCTCAGACTTTACGGCGTCAACCCCGACGAAGAAGTCACTGCCCCGTTTTCAGTCCATTTCGCTCCCCCCTCCCTCTCAGCAGAATGTCAAGTATCTCTTGGACTCAATATATTTTTTTTCTTCTGTTGTTTGATTTCCATGTCGATGTTATTTCAAAGTTGTGTCTCTGGCTCTCACTGTTTGTGTTTGACTGGCCGACTCCAATGTGTTGGCTTTTCTAAAAACCACGGACACGGCCACTGGTTGTCATGTTGAAAACAGAAAGAAGAAAGTGCTGTTTCTACGGAACGGGGGGGAGAGAGAAAAAAAGAAAAGAAGCAGCTACCCGCCTAGCTCCCTCACCTCTCTGTTGGTGTGTGTGTGTGTGTGTGTGTGTGTGTGTGTGTGTGTGTGTGTGTGTGTGTGTGTGTGTGTGTGTGGTGTGTGTGTGTGTGTGTGTGGTGTGTGTGTGTGTGTGTGTGTGTGTGTGTGTGTGTGTGTGTGTGTGTGTGTGTGTGTGTGTGTGTGTGTGTGTGTGTGTGTGTGTGTTTCTTTGTGCCGACAGACAGCGAGCGGAGGCTGCGGAGCGAGGTGGTTCTCGTATGTAACGTGTTGAGACTTTGTATTTGGGACACCTCTGTGTGAGAAGGTTTTTTTTGTGTCCTCTCCTCTTCTTCTCTCCTCCTTATCCCCTTGTCTACTCATCACGGTGACCCCTTCCTCCCTCCCCCGTTCCCTTGCCCCTCCTTCCCCCCCAACACACCTCAAAAGAGAGGAAAAAACTAGTACATTCCTGGTTTGGAAAAAAAGGTTGAATAAAAAAAAACAAAACAAAAATGTTTAAGCACCACTCCTTTGGTCCTGTTGTGTGATTCATTATTGTGTGAGGGTCTGCGGAGGTTCTTTTGTTCTGTGTGTGTGAGTTCCTGAGGCCCCTGCCTAAGAGAAGGTCTCTTGCCCTTATCTCTGTATTGGGCTCGTCTCAGCGGGGGCTCTTTCACTGCCTCTGCTAATAACACACACTCACACACTCACTGGCTCTCCCACTGGTGTTATCAACAAGTTATCAAACCCAGCTTCGTTAGTGTCGAGTGTTGCCTGGCAACGTATTGACAGAGCTGATTTTATTCTCTGTCTGCCTCTCTTACACCCCTCTTCTTCCTCTATTTCCCCCTCTAGCTTTGTGGCACGTTTCTATGGTAACTGTTAGCGTATTTTTGCTCCCTTCCAAAATGTCATCCGGTTGTGTATGTTTGTTTTTTAAGGCTCTTCCAGAACATGGTGTGCCATCAGGGTGGCCTTAGGGTGAGATGACCAGGCAGCTGCCTTTACCCTTTGATCTGTGATGTGTGAGAGTGGATCACATGCCACACACATGTATTCAATGACCCCCAACTACACAAACACCAACAGATGCAATCGTATGCACTGCCACACAGCGCCATTGATCCTGGTGGACACTTGTCACTGCCTCTGCCATGACAACCTGTCACTGAAACTGAGGCCAAGTACAATGAAGGTTGGCGAACAGTAAACATCCGACCTGCTAAAGCTGCTAATCCACCAAACACCTTCAGTCAGTATCCCCAATTCCCTTTTTGCACTTCCCTTTATTAACTACGCAGCAGTACGTTTTCAACCATAATTCCATAAACCATCATCATAACCTGCTTGTAAACAAAACAGGTTGTTTACGTTGACTTCAGTTTGGAATTGGGAAGGTTTCTAATTAGAGCTGGGCCAAATTTAAACTACTTCCTGTCATTTCAAGCTGCCTCTGTAGGCCTTTTCACTTGTCAGAGTAGAAGAAGCACAGGTGTTCGTTATAACTATTGCTATGTTCTTTTAAAGTGTCTCAGTAGGCTGTGACAGCATGACAGTCAGCCCGCATGGAAAATAGCAGGACCCTGAATCTGACGCAGGTAATTGGAATTCAACCACCATTCCTTTGATCCTTTACACCTCTGCCTTTCCGACTTTGACCTGTCAAAATGGCTTCTCTAAAATATTTATCTAACACTAAACTGTCACTGCACACTGAAAACTTCTCAACTACTGTTCACACAGGTGTTTTCACTCGGCCTGATTAGACCTCTTTTCAAGACTCTGGGGTGTGTGTATACAAACCAGAATGATTGACATCTACTTTCACTCTGCTGTTAGTTAACTTGCACCTGTTGTCGGGGACACCTTTATGATGTGGTTAAGTGACTTCATATAAAACCCTGCGTAACTTCACCCAACTTCAACATAAACAGAGATGTAACACGCAGCAGTAACTGAAAACACCTGTGTGGGTGTGCAGGGCCACACAGGAAGAGGCACTTTTCAACCATTTATATTTAAATACATATTCAAATTTAATTACCCGACACTGAAAATGCTTTAAAAAATATGTTAGATAACAATACTGTAGCTGGTGCATTTATTTATGTTACCAAAATCTTGCCTTTTCTTCAAAAATGATGCAAAATGGAGCTTAAGGAGTCAACCCATAAAAATAGATTTAGGGTGGTGGTGAATGTTGTTAGTTGTTATGGTGAGAGCAAAGGTCAAATCGTAAAACGTGTCACACTCACTAGTTTGAGAACTCTGGGCCTTCCGTCTTCACTAAACTTTGGTCGTCCTTATATCTGTCTCTTGTTGGTGCTCATCATGAACCCTAGGTCTATAATCATATTTATAATGATCAGTTATGATGTCGATTTATAAGGAAGTTAGCCCGGGACAACTGTGGCTACATCTGTTTTTTGTAAAGGCTATACATAATAAAATGGCCGCTGCTCTGACCTTTCTATTATGTTGTATTGAAAGGGAATCTAATGTTTTTATGGTGAAACCCAATCTAAGCCAGATAAATAAGTAACCTACATGTCTGGTCCTTCATAGCAAGTGTACAATGTAAGGCTCATACAGTTTGTGGTAATCCAATTCTACTTATTTTTAACCGATTATATTCCCACAGCCTTGCTGTATTCAGAAAAAATGCCAGTGGGTGAGTCGATTAGTTACTTGAGTACCTGGGTTATTGGTTTGTATTTCTAATCTGCCAAACCCATCCCTCACTGGATAGTAATGGGGAATAAGTCACATTGAATAGGCTAGTAGCTGCCAACAAATCATATATCTGCCATACCAGTGGTGATAATGTTCCATGAGTGGTTCACCACTGTTGCTAATCCATGGAAACCACCAGCAATATTCCCTTCAAAGAGGAACTAATGCTAATCTAATGGCTGTTAAGCCGTAATGAGTTTGCTTGCTTCTTTCCAGTCGGGTTTAAAGGAGGCCTGTTTAGACTATCGGGACTGCCGTGGTCCCCTTATCATTACATGCTCATCATTACTCCTGCTAATCTGTTCTGCTCAATGCACACACAGATGAATATTAATGCCATGGAGGATGATAGCCGTGTGTGTGCCGCATGAACACACACAGACAGATGCAGATAGGCGGGAAAAGTTGGAACGACACACACGGAAGCATACAAAGACGAAAACACGCGCAATCTTGCGTGCTCTGTGCTTTGTCAAGTGAAACGGCTGAGCCTCCTCTCTAACTCCGTGGAGGAAGGAAAGCTTGATACGTCGCACACACTGAAACACACCCGCCGCTTCCTTCCCTGATACTTTATCACAGCAGCAGAAGGCTGGAAAGAGAAAAGAATCAGTTTTAAGTGAAATCAATAGAGAGATAATCCCCTAAATTAGATTTTGAAAAGCTTCGCCGCTGATGCGCAACTTAAAACCTAAGGATTGGCCCACTTGACTTACCCAACGAAACAATCCTCGAGTAAGAAGCAGTTACCATGGGAATGAGCGAAGGTCAAGGATAAGAGGAGAGTGAGGGAGGAGTGGGGAATGAGGGAGACAAGGCTCTAAATCAAAGAACCATACCCAGGAATCTGCATACTGAATCAGGGTAAAACTGCTGTGATTACAATGTCACTGTGATTAATGTAGTGTAGCGCGTTAGCACCCTGAGGACCAGAGCTGCAGCAGAGTGCGCCGTGATGGCTCGCACCTGACAGACCTGAAATGCCATGTCATGATTGGAGAGGAGCTGAAGGGTTAAAAGGTCAAGCTGTTTGATTGGATGCAAAGGCCTTTTCTGTGTGTAGCCAGACCTGGAGGCGGACAGATAGCTCTGGCAGAGGGTAATTAAACCTCAGCAGAGGAGGAATTATCGGGAGGAAATCCATGGTTTTACAGCGCTGATGCTGCCAGCTATTTCTCTGT